AGCTCTGCTGGTGCCCCTCACTCCCAACCCACAGTCCCCCCGTGGGCCCAGCCCTGGACTCCCCCATCTTTGCAACTCACCGGCCCCTTAACTGCTTCGATGCTACGTACAACTTCTTCCTGCAACAGACCCTGCGGCCCTTGCTAATAAATAAATGTCTGTTCTGTGTTTGGGAAAAAAGCCAGAACACGTCCTTGATGATGATGAAATATTATCTAGTCCAACGATAACTCAGTTGGATGTTAAAGAATAGCTGCGAAAGTCAGACCGTTTCAAATCACCGGGGCAGGTCACTTGCATCCTAGAGTTTGAAAAGAGTTGGCCGAGGAGTTAAGCCTTGTAACAAGGGGACATTCCCAAGGACTGGAAGAAAGCTAATGTTGTGCCAACCTTTAAACACGCTGACCTGGGTTATTAGAGTCCTGACAGCCCCAGGCAAGATACTGGCGAGAGGGACGCTGTTAATAAAGGATTAAAGGCGGGTAATGTAATGATCGAGATGGGGTTTATGGAAAATAGATCCTGTCAAAGTAATGGGATAGTTTTGAATGAGGTTACAAATTTGGTTGATAGAGGCGACAGGGTGAGATCATCTACGTAGGTTTCCATGACTTGACGTTCCAATTGCAAAAACTAGAACGGTCCCAATTCAGTGTGGTCCAGGTGAAGCGGATTATAAACCGGGTCCTGAGAGGGATCGACTGTAACTGCAAATGAAGAATCAGCGTTGGGCGGGTGTGTTTCTAGTGGGGTCCCGCAGGGACTGGGTCTTGGCCGTACGATTTCCGACATTTTTATCAACAGCCTGGGAGAAAACATCAAATCACCCACGGACAGAGCGTGCGGACGGCTCAAAGAATGGGAGAGTGTTAGATCATGAAGAGGGCAGGTCACTGATACGGAGCGACCTGGATCGCTCGGCAAACCGGGCACAAGCAAACAATCTGCATGTTAATTCGGCCATTGTAAACAGCTAGGAATGAGGACTAGGTCGTACTTAGCGGCTGGGGGGGGCTCGTCCTGGGGGGCCGTGACTCTGACAAAGATTTGGGGGGCGTGGCGGAGCTCCCAGTGCAATGCTGGGGCCAAAAGAGCCGGTGCGAACCAGGGGACTTAAACAGGGGAATCTGGAGTAGGAGCAGAGAGGTGCTGTTACCTTCTGTGTCTGGCCCTGGAGTCACAATGTCACTCTATAAAGCCACGGTATGGCCACACCCCGAATGCTGCCTGCAGTTCTGGTCCCCCCAGCCCAAAAGGGGTGTATTGGAATTGGAAAAGGTTCAGAAAAGGGCAACAAAAATGATTCGGGGTGTGGAACCGCTTCCGTACGAGGCGAGATTAATAAGGCTGGGACTGGTCAGCTTGGAAAAGAAACGTCTAAGGGGGGATATGATCGAGGTCTATAAAATCTTTACTGGTGTGAAGAAAGTGAAGAAAGACGTGTTATTTACTCCTTCTCCTAACACAGGAACTAGGGGTCACCCAATGAAATTAACAGGCAGCAGGTTTAAAACAAATACAAAGAAGTATTTCTTCTCGCAACGCACAGTCAACCTGTGGAACTCCTTGCCAGAGGATGTTGTGAAGGCCAAGACCATAACAGTGTTTAAAAAAGAACTAGATAAATTCATGGAGGATAGGTCCATCAATGGCTATTAGCCAGGCTGAGCAGGGATGGTGTCCCTAACCTCTGTTTGCCAGAAGCTGGAATGGGCGACAGGGGATGGATCACTGAATGATTCCCTGCTCTGTTCACCTGGCACGGCCACTGTCAGAAGACAGGACGCTGGGCCGAATGGACCCTTGATCTGACCCGGTCTGGCCGCTCTTATGACCGCTGCTGGACTCGTGTCCACAGTTCAGGAAGGACGTTGGTAAATCGGGCGGGGTCAGAAAGGAGCCACGCAGAGGATTAAAGGGTCGGAAAACCTGACTTAGAGCCAAAGGGAAGGCGAAGGGAACCAGCATGTAACAGCAGGCTCTGGGGCGCAGGAGATGGAAGCTGAAGTTGCGAAGGTCCAGAGTTTAACCGGGAGGGCGATTAACCCCTGGACCCATCGCCCCAGGGCTGTGGTGGATTCGCCACCGCAGGGGATTTTCACCCCGGGATGGGAGGTTTTCCGAGATCGGTGCGACTTCCAGCCGGCTGTAACTCAGGGCAGGTCTCTGGGGGTCAGACTAGGGGGTCCCCCCTGGTCCCTTCGGTTGGAATCTGACTCTCTAACCAGCCCCTCTTTGCTCCCCGCCCACAGCCCCCCGCCTGGCCTGGCAGCCGCCCTAGACGAGTGCATGGAGGCCATGAACGCCTTCCTCTGCAACCAGTTCAGCGAGAGCCTGGAGAAGCTGCAGCCCAGGTGGGTGGAGGAGCTGCCCATGGTCCCTGGCCC